TTTGTACGTGGGTGGTTACGTGTGATGGGGCGTGTGACTAGTGTAGGAGAGGAATGTATACCATGGTGACGAGAGACAACAGTCGACCTTGATGATTGTTGCCGCCGGAGGCTGCTAGTTTATTGTGCACCTCATACTCATCTTGTGAGCGGTAGCGCAAAAGCATTACAGAGGGCACAAAAGGTCTTTATCAGACCTCATCTTAGATTATTACATAAACAATTTCATCTATCCAAACAACAGTCGACCTGTGTTTTGTGAGGCCAGGGTTAACCCAAGCCTAGCCTCACCCAGCTGGGGCTCTATGATGCCTCACCCTCCTCCTCCTCCCCCCCCACCCGCAACCTAATTCCACCACTTGCATGCAAACCCTCCCCCTCCTGGCGCATGCAACCCCCTAATGCATGCAACCCGCAACTGTACAACTACGCGAGTGTCAAGCCTCATACGGAACACGGGCGTGACATAAATCACATGACCCATATACTCTTTATACATATATTTTAAATATATTTTGCAGCTACCCTGGCTATATGAAGGGTTAAACATCTATGAGGTGCTAAACATCTCCATCTCACGGGACGGTTAGTCATACAGGACCATGTGATCAGTAGCCTACACTGGCAAACTTTGAATGCATTTATGAGGATATCCTCAAGAACACCAGAGATAATAGTGATTGCTAAGCTCCAGGTACGTTATGCCTGTAGGTCTGAAGGGTCTAATGACTGGACATTCAGTAATGTACTGAGATCAAGACCCAGTTCCTGCTAATAAGATTCGTTCCTAGTAGCCACCTGTCATAAGTAACGGTAGCCCAACCTGATCCTGGCAACCACTGTCGCACGGTTTGATAGACGTTTTGTCCTACCAGTATACATAGGGCTTCAGATCTAAACAAATCATAACTTGTTACATTGGTGCTTTCAGGCCTTTTAGCGTCTGTTATTCTTCTATCAGGTGTGAATGTTTGGAGCAATATATTGTCTTTTAACAGAGGTGGGAATACCTTGGTCTAGTTCATCTTTATCCTTGTTGTATGATAATTTGGCTGCAATGTCTGTGTCATCATGATGAGTTCCATTTATAAGAGATGGAAGCCATGCAAACAATGCTCTGAACCCTTTATTCTGTGCAGTAAATAAAGTTACTTTGCATGGTGAGTGGGGCAGGTCTTGCGAACAGCGCAGCAAGGATTGGAACATGGCTGGGTCCCGGCCTGTAACTTGAGCAAAATATAGTGGCAATATTTATGAAATATCAACATGCTGAGGCAAGAGGATCGCAGCTTCTGAGAATGTCAAGCTTGGAGATTGTGAAGACATTAAGGCAGGTCGCTGGTAAATCGTCCAACTGAGTTGTTTTAGATTCAGCTACTGGGAACAAAACGTTCCACGTAGCACGGGCTATGGTGAGCCCGTAGTGGACTTACCTGGTACATGAGCGGGGCTGCAACTTGGTCCAACAGAGGACTTAACGACAGTTATATACATCCTATTGGAAGGAAAGGAAATTATAAGGGGATAGCACCAAGCCATTACGACTATATAGCACTGGGAAGGGATCAAGATAAGGATTAGGGATGGAATGGGGGGGGGGGGAGGAATGGTGCCCAACCACTTGTGGACGGTCAAGGATTGAACCCCGACCTGCATGAAGCGAGACCGTCGATCTACCGTCCAGCCCAAGTGATTGGGCACATCCTATTGGAAGTTGTGATGCTGCACAGCCCATCGTAGTTGGGTAGTCGTCATTAACAGCTTAGTTTCTTTCTACCGCCAGATCAGACATGGGCGAATGTCTCACGTTGGGTGAGGCACTTGTTGGGTGAGGCACTTGTTGTTCTGCAGTGCGACTCGTGACGGAGAGAATCTCTCTCGTTTCCTGCGCAATGGATGGTGTCAACACTGACGTCATGACGGGTTGCGTGTCCGTCTGTACGGCTCAGTGTGCGTGCCAGGGTCTTGTGACGTCGTAGAGTGTCGTGTTTAGTTTTATATTTTTACACTCTTGGATGAACTTACTACGCGATTTCAGTGTTGATAAACTGTCCCTCGGCTTGTGCGTCTTAGGCTTTATAGTCTAGTTTGTGTGTGGCTAAAGTAGTTTGCGTCAGGAAATTACAATTTCCAACCATTTTATTTACACAACTATGCGCTACTACGTTTAAAATATATCTTTGATCTTTTTCATATACTCTTTTTATCCAAATTTTCAGCAATTCAAGAATTATTATTATGTTTACCAAACAGATGAGTTTTATTATTCTTTGCTATAATACATTATGGCAAAGAATAAAAAATAAAGATTAAGAATAAATCTTTCTTTATTATGCACCCCATACCCATCCCGTAAGCGGTGGTGGGAAGGGTTACAGAGGCACATAACGGATTCAGGAACTGAACCTCATAGTTCGTTTACAGTTACTGGTCTTGCTCCACACCCACCCAACTGGGCGGCAGCTTTACAGTCATGTGCTCCACACCCACCCAACTGGGCGGCAGCTTTACAGTCATGTGCTCCTCACCCACCCAACTGGGCGGCAGCTTTATAGTCATGTGCTCCACACCCACCCAACTGGGCGGCAGCTTTACAGTCATGTGCTCCACACCCACCCAACTGGGCGGCAGCTTTACAGTCATGTGCTCCACACCCACCCAACTGGGCGGCAGCTTTACAGTCATGCGCTCCACACCCACCCAACTGGGCGGCAGTTTTACAGTCATGTGCTCCACACCCACCCAACTGGGCGGCAGCTTTACAGTCATGTGCTCCACACCCACCCAACTGGGCGGCAGCTTTAGTCATGTGCTCCACACCCACCCAACTGGGCGGCAGCTTTACAGTCATATGCTCCACACCCACCCAACTGGGCGGCAGTTTTACAGTCATGTGCTCCACACCCACCCAACTGGGCGGCAGCTTTACAGTCATGTGCATGCATTACCTACAGTAAACAAATTTTGGATACTTCGCTAAGATTCCGGGCAGTACATAATAGAAAACCTTTATTTTGTTCATTATTGTTATTGCAATATCCAGTTAGTAAAAGTATTAGTAATTTATATTCAATAATAAACTTAATTCAATCTTCGTCCGTATTGTGTCGTAGAATGAGATATTCCAACTAAGTTGTGAAAGTTTTTGGTGCGTTTTGGGAAAATGTTTGAGGTTTACATCATAACAACATTAGAATTAAATAACTGCAGAAGGTCTATATATCCATACGAGGCAGCTCCTGTTTACATCCACCCATATTTGTTTAAAATTTCGGTACACGTATATTTTACGCAGCTACCCTGGATTATATGAAGCTGCGCAGTGATAAGAGATGCTAAAAAAATGCTAAAAATGCTACGCGATGCTAACAAAAATCGCTATCACACAGGATGGTTAGTCGTAGAGGGTCATGTGTGATCAGTAGGCTTCATTGGCAGACTTTTGGGTGCATAGGATAGCCTCAAGAATACACTGAGTTAATGAAAAAGTGACTGGAAAGCTCCCATGTACCTCGTGCCGGGCAGGTCTGAAGGGTCTAATGACTGGATGTTGAATAATGTAGTGTGAGATCATGTACCCAGTTCCTGCTCACGGAGTTTACACTTGGGGTGCTCAGGATTGGCAGATTCACCCAAACACATTCATGTATAGCCTGTGATTGAAACTACCCATTGTTCCCATGTCTGTTGTAAGAACTCTATCGGGTACTCTTTCACAAATGCTGTATCTTATATAACTATTTTTTTAATTAGATTTGACGAAGCTTGTTTAAAGTGAACTCTACCCGACCACAACATTATTTACTAAAATATAATATTTAGACAAAGTTAGAATTGGGCTATTTTAAATTCAGAAAAAAGGGTTGTCAACCGTGGGACTTTCAGCCAAGTTGTAGTACAAACTGTGGTAAGAGCCCTGTAGTGTGACTATCCCCATTTTGATATTGCAATCTAATATAAGAAGCTCGCATTCATTGCATATTTTTGCTATTTGATCAAATTGCACAAATTACCAATATGAGCAGATAGGTCGTGAATTTTGAATATTTTGTTGATTACCTTTGAGTTCTAAAAATGTGGAGTCGATACTTTCAATACGTGATTTTGTTTAATATAGACTTTACGAAGGACTTGTCTACTTGTAACTAGTTAAGTGCATCCTGGAACAGTCTACCCAGGATGAATATTTTATGTATCTAACCAATATCTGGTTTACCTATAATATAATTTACCTCTACAGAAGAAGCCTAGAGTTCTGAGAACTTATTTTCGTGTACTTTGTACATTTATGTGTAGGCTACCTGTGGTGGAGAGAGGGGGGGGGCTGATAGCCTCATCGAGGGGGTGATTGTAAGCCTGTTCGAAAGTGGGGGCTGTAAGCCTTTACGTAAGAAGGGGGCAGGCTGTAAACCTCACTGAGTGGGGGGGGGGTACTTAAGCCTCTTTGAGGAGGGGAGATGAAGGCCTCGTCCAAGGGGGGGGGGGGCTGTATAGGCCTCGTTAGAGTGGAGCTGTAAGCCTCGTCAAGGCTCCCTGGTGGTCAGGTGAGTCTGTATCACGTTGGTTATTCGCTTCTTAAAAGTATCTAACCCTAAATTTCACACGATAGTATTAATGACTTTGAGACATTAAAAATGAATTATTTGTTAAACTGTAATGTTTTAATGTAAAATTATATAAATTGGGTAGCATGTACCATGGGGTATTGACTAATAGGATACAACTGATCTTTTATACCGTACATTAAAAATACTTGAAGGTTTACGATTTCCCAGTGACGAAACCCCATTATCTGCTCGTTAGCTGGTGATAAGGGTGAAGGGGGTAAGATAACTCTGGAAAACTCTATTTTCAGCAGACAAGACACACGTTCACTTAATATTGTTAGAATCAAAAGCTCTGGATTATTTAATCTTCCATTAGCTAATGTTATGTGTTTTACACAAGGAAATCACACTAATATGAAAATGATTGATTCATTTTAATTCAATGGTTGAATTGAAATCAGTGGGATCAATGCGGGGGATTCCACCCAGCGACCAGAGAGTAATCTCGGCCGTGCACCCGGCGGTGAACTCAATTACCTACACCAGAGTGCATAGGAGGTTCATATGTAACACTTGGACAGGTTTCAGCTCGGGGCCTCCAGACCTCCTGTGGGTTCAGTTAAATTCCAACACCTTTACCATCTCGTGGTGCAAGGGGTAAGGTGCCCGGCCGGGAGTGCCCGGGTCGTTGAGTTGAATCTCCGTATTGCTACAATTGGTTTTATTTGTACTGAAACATTTGGAGGGTCTCAAGAAAGTGAGATTACTCGATGCGCGTCGACGGGGCTGTCGTTAGGTTGGTGCACGACAGGTTGGTGTACGACAGGTTGGTGCACGACAGGTTGGTGTAGGACAGGCTGGTGTAGGACAGGTTGGTGTAGGACAGGTTGGTGTAGGACAGGTTGGTGTAGGACAGGTTGGTGTAGGACAGGCTGGTGTAGGACAGGTTGGTGTAGGACAGGTTGGTGTAGGACAGGTTGGTGTAGGACAGGTTGGTGTAGGACAGGTTGGTGTACGACAGGTTGGTGTACGACAGGTTGGTGCACGACAGGTTGGTGTACGACAGGTTGGTGTACGACAGGTTGGTGTACGACAGGTTGGTGTACGACAGGTTGGTGCACGACAGGTTGGTGTACGACAGGGTGGTGTACGACAGGTTGGTGTACGACAGGTTGGTGTACGACAGGTTGGTGTACGACAGGTTCTTCTCTGCTCCGTTGGAAATAATAAATAATCCTTGTATTTAATATTGGTAATTGATACATTGCATAATGTGCAATATTTATTATATATTTAATTACATGTACAGTACATATAATACACACGATTCGATTGAACCATAGATCTGCAAAAAAGTTAATTTAAATTTGCAATAACTCTCTAAACAATCTCAGGTAAACCACACGCACACGCACACACACACACACACACAAACACACACACACACACACACACACAAACACACACAAACACACACACACACACACACACACACACACACACACACACACACACACACACACACACACACACACACACACACACACACACACACACATAATTACACACACACGTGTGTGTGGAATCATCGGAATCATTCAGAATCTTGTACACCACATATGTAAGACCAATCCTGGAGTATGCGGCCCCAGCAAACCCGTACCTTGTCAAGCACAAGACGAAACTGGAGAAACTTCAGAGGTATGCCACTAGACTAGTTCCAGAACTAAGAGGCATGAGTTACGAGGAAAGGCTGCGTGAGATGCACCTCACAGCACTGGAAGACAGAAGAGTAAGGTGAGACATGATTACTACTTACAAAATTCTCAGAGGATTGACAGGGTTGATAAGGATAAACTTTTTAACACGGGTGGTTCGCGAAAAAGGGGACACAGGTGGAAAGTGAGTACCCAAATGAGCCACAGGGGACGTTAGAAAGAACTTTTCAGTGTCAGAGTAGTTAACAGGTGGAATGCACTAGGCAGTGATGTGGTGGAGGCTGACTCCATACACAGTTTCAAATGTAGATATGATAGAGCCAAGTAGGCTGAGGAATCTGTACACCAGTTGATTGACAGTTGAGAGGCGGGACCAAAGAGCCACAGCTCAACCCCCGCAAGCACAACTAAGTGAGTACACACACACACATGATTATTTGTGTGTGTGTGTTGGCGATTATTTGTATTTGTAGTACGCCGGTGAAACATTTACAGCGTTGTGGTCGAACTAAAGTCATCAGTGAAGCACTTAATCCGGAAGTGTTCGGACGTCATCAGTTGTGAGTCGTTTGTAAACCGTTTTTCATTCATAAACAGCTGGGGGTTTGGCGGGTGCATGGAATGGACTTTTGGCCTTTGTTTATGAGGACGGGCTGTAGCATTTTATATAATATAAATATATTAACCATTGGTATACTCTTCCATGACAGGTACACCAGGAACCTGATTGATGAAGGTAATGGGAAGTTCAACTTGATGTTGCTGTGTTGGGGACCATCCCACACCTCCACCATACACGACCACGCCAACGCCCACTGCTTCATGAAGGTAACTGATTTTGTTCGTTCCTCGTCATCTCCCATCCCGTGGGCGGTGGTGGACCCTATACCCATCCCGTTGGCGGTGGTGGACCCTATATACCCATCCCGTGGGCGGTGGTGGACCCTATATACCCATCCCGTTGGCGGTGGTGGACCCTATACCCATCCCGTTGGCGGTGGTGGACACTATATACCCATCCCGTGGGCGGTGGTGGACACTATATACCCATCCCGTGGGCGGTGGTGGATCCTATACCCATCCCGTGGGTAATAGTGGACCCTATACCCATCCCGTGGGCGGTGGTGGACCTTAAACCCATCCCGCGGACGGTGGTGGACCCCATACTTCTCCCGTAGGTGGTAGTGGACCTCTTACACATCTCGTGGGTGGTAGAGGACCCCATACATATCCCATTGGCAGAAGTGGACCCCATACCCATCCCGTGGGCGGTGGTGGACCCACCCCATACCAATCCCGTGGGCAGTTACCCGCGACCCGGCCGTCGACGAAGCCTCCTCGTTGCTGAACTGGTCAACCAGGCTGTTGGACGCCTCCAACATACTTACAACATACAACAAACATAGAAACCTACAATATACATACAACATACATAGAAACATACATACAACATACTAGAAATACTCTTCTACCATTGCAACTCGGTTACTTGGCTTGCAACTTTCCAATTCCATGCACACAATCAGATCACTATTCCCTATTAGTTTAAACCTCAACAAATACCTACTCTTTCTGCACAAGCTAAGGCTGCTTCCTTATTTACAGACAGATGCATCTCATTCTTTGCATACGGCTCATATTTGCCATAGTGTCACTTGTCAATAACATTTGTAATTACAATTGTTAATGCAATCACATTGCATCAGCCTTCAGTATTTGTCCAGCTGGCGACTGATGCAAATTACCTTAAGCATTCATTCTAAACTCCTCGTCTAGGCGGGTTGTTACAAATGACTGATCTTATATTACCCCGAATTCTATCTATTGCTTCTGTATAACTGACAAGCATTGCCTCACTTCCACATTTTCCAACACCATTACTACTTGCAGTGACTGACAAAAATCATGTTCCCATTACCACTCATGATGCTGTCTATCCCACAAACATCACATATCCCTTTCCCAGGAAAGCCCATACGCATCCTAATTTTTAATATCCTCTTTCCAAAATATCCGGTCCATGCAGCTAACCTGAATTGCCAACAATTAACATTTGTCTTGCCCTATATTAGCATTTGTTTTTATAACTATATTGCCTTAATTGCTGCCATAAAAAGCATGGAAGGCCTTATTTGATAGGCTACAACCCCCCCCCCCCCAAAAAAAAAAATACCTAGGTTACAACCCCCTAAAAAAAATACCTAGGCTGCAACCCCCCAAAAAAGCAATACCTAAGCTACAACTCCCCCTCCCAAAAATACCTAGGCTACAACCCCTCAAAATAATACCTAGGCTACGACCTCCCCCCCCCCCCCAAACAATACCTAGGTAGGTTTGCTTTACCATTGAGTACAAAGTTTAATTTTGAGAACTGTTACAGATGATGTCGGGTTCTCTGCAAGAGGTGAGGTTTGAGTGGCCACAGGAAGCAGCAGAAGAACAAAAGGAGCAAGAGATGGTGGAGACCGATAGGAATGTCCTCAAGATAAATGACGTTGTCTACATTAATGGTAGGTTTTTTATTTTATTTTTGTTTGATGGATACCTCTTAAATTTGTACGTTTTTAGGCACTTGTCGTTGTTGTATAATATACATGATCCACAAACACGAATTTTGAGGAAGACATTCCTGCAATGTCTGCAGGAATAAATGGTGATATTGCACTGGTGATATTGTAGTATTACTGAAACATCTCCATGTTTCCGCCTTCTGTGGCATGACCAATTTATATAAACTAGTGCCTCGCTTGTGCACATAATCCGAATATCAGATTCAAGATATCCAGAATTTGTGCACCCATCTTGATATCTTGAACTTTGCCTACATATTACACCACCCCTTTGGTATGTGCAGGGACTTGAGGATACCAAAGTGGTGCCTTATATACCGATTCATACACACAGACCAAAGCATGATACGGCGTTAGCTTTATGTTAATCAGTGACCAAATCTGACGAACGATGGATGACCCGTGTTCCCTGCCCAGCCACACCCTCACTCAGCACGGTGTGATAATGTGCCACATTGATATCGGTGGCAATATCAACATTGAATTAAATAATACGTTTGAATTCTCTACTCGTGAAAGTTATTGCTCAAGAAATTTTGGAATAGCAATGCTTGTATTTGATTAAATTATTTCCCAATCAGGGATCCTGGGTTCAGTCTCCCGGGAAGGTAAATAAAATAGATGGGCGTATCCTTTCACCCTGATGCTTCTGTTCATCTAGCAGTTAATAGGTACCCAGGAGTTACGCAACTGTTATTGGGTTGCATCCTGGGGAGATGGGTATTAATAGCTCCACTTTTGGGGACTGCGATACAACACTACACACATTTTATATATATATATATATATATATATATATATATATATATATATATATATATATATATATATATATATATATATATATATATATATATATATATATATGTATATAGCTTCAGCCTAGATTCTATAGTTGCTGTGGTAGATTTATATTAAATACTCACGAATTGTTATAACAGCATATTTACAGTATATTTAGAGATGATAATAATAGCAAACACAACTAGCTTATTTGGGAGATCTATGCATCTGGCAGAGCAGATGGATAGCCTATTCTATGTAATGTAAATTACGGTACTTTTTTTCTCTTTTTATTTAATTGGTTAAAAGTAGTGCAGTATTTTATACACTGATTGTTGTTGCAGATTCTCTTGGGTTGCACAGAGTTGAGAACACCTCACACAGTGAGGGCGCCGTCTCCCTCCACCTCTACTGTCCACCCTTCAGCAGCTGCTCCATATTTGATGAACGTACTGGCAAGAAGATGAAGTGTCCAGTCACCTTCTGGAGCAAGTATGGACAGAAAGTCGAACAGGTAAATTGACTAGTGTAAAGGTTGAAGTTGCTAGGAAATATACTGTAGAGTATATGTTAGGCAAAGCCAGCTCTATACGGTATACTAGAAAAGGGGTATCCACCGGTGCACGAGACTGTCTCTCTATCCCCCTCATCCTTCTGTCCCCCTCTACCTACTCTTCCCGTCTATGAGAATGTGGGTATTTCTAAGCTAAAGTACACGCCAAAGTTGCAAGTGACTTAGGCACTTGAGGAGTACAAGAATACGGATAGCGTTTATTCAGGTTGGATTACCGTCAAGTGGGGTAATCCTTGGAGAGCTGTACTGATTGATTGATGAAGATTCAGCCACCCAAGAGGTGGCACGGGCATGAATAGCCCGTTAGAGAGCTGTTCTCCTTTGGAGTCTAGATTTAGTAAGGTGGTCAGCATACAACGTTGGGTTATTCTACAAGGTCAGGGAAAACCTTATTGAGTTTGTACATAGCTCTTGGCTGTAGCCACCATTTTGGATGGTAAGAAGTGGTGAGAAGTCAGGTGATGGAGCAGGAAAGGTTGACATCTGATCTCAGTATTCTTAACACTCTGAAATATCCGGATCTACACACTCCAATGACGTCACATGAACTCCGGGAAGGAATCACTCAGAGATAGGCAAATGTTGGTGCTACCCTGTGACTGGTGTATTCATATAGATTCGTTGAGACTAGAGAGCAACAGCTGGAGCGCCAGATGTTCTCTATCCCAGCGGCTCGGACTTTGGTTCATATATTACTGGCAAAATGAAATACATGTTAATGATAATGACACGAAGTGTAAACTATGTTGTATGTAAAGGGCTCACACCCTCACTCGTTATGTTCTTGACTGCTTGCCCATTGAAGTAATGTATAGAGAAACACTGAGATAACGACTGTTCCTGAACAAATAGCCTGGAGGTGTAACAAGGGAAAGCTTGCTGATATTCTGGAAGGGAAGGGAATTATGAGGAGAAAGCGCCAAGCGATGATGACTATATAGCACTTGGAAAGGATAAGGATTTGGGATGGGCGGGGGAAAGGAATGATGCCCAACCACTTAGACGGTCGCGGATTGAACGATGACCTGCATGAAGCAAGACCGTTGCTCTACCGTCCAGGCCAAGTGGTTGGCCCATGATATTCTGGAGAGATATAAGAATTTTAGCACCAAGCCTGTAACTTTGTTGGAATGTCTGAATGTCTATTGCAAATGGCCTGTGTACCGAGTCATTCAAGTATTTGTGTGTATGTCTGGTAACATACTGCATGTGTAAAGGAATAAATGTATATGTTTATCACTCAGAATGTTCATAACATGTTGATTGTTTGTGATGTGTCTATATATATATTTATATATATATATATATATATATATATATATATATATATATATATATATATATTTATGTATGTATATGTATGTATATGAACACGTTGTACTGAACCGGGTAAGAATAGCTTGAGCTACCTCATCCCTTTGTGTATATTTATTCCTCAATAAACTTATTTCAATTGTAAGGGGTGGCAGTGGTCATACAGACATGTGATCCCAATATTTCAGACTTGACTTCATGAAAATTACAAAGGTTGGTGGAGGGGTGGGGTGGGGGGGTAGATGCTGGTGTTTTTTAAAGTGTAACCCTGGAGCCGACCCTGACTGACCTATGAAGATCCCACACCCCACATGCTTCATGTGTAAAAGTTAGGAAAGGCTAGTCCTAAGCGTCTGGCTTACAACCTTGGACACATAGACATTATCTCTTATAGATATAGATAGATTGTGTACCCAGCTGCACTCAAGCATCTTTTCCCCTCTTCCCACCCTTTTGCAATTCTTCACCCCATCCCCTCCTCCTTTGTCTCTCCCCCTCTCTCTCCATCTGTAAGAAAATTGATTACTACAGAGTACAGCCAATGTGAAACTCTGTGGGAAATGCAACCAATATTTCAGATAGGACTCAACAAAAACTGCATGGGGGTCTCTATAAATGCCAGTACAGTATTTCTTATATTGTTCCAATCCCTGCGTTCTCTGGGATCTAAAAATAACCAGGCCTAGTCCATGTGCTCTAACATAGACCATGACTAACGAATATGTACTTGTCTATTTTAGCTTTAAGTGGATATTTTCTACATGCCACTAACACTCTAGTGGCCTCAACAAGGACAGGAAGCTGGTGGCTTGTCAAAGGTCCCCCCATTTGTCCTGGTGATTTTGTTCTTGCTAGATTTTACAATTAAACTTAACACAGTTTTGGCATTTACTGCTTCTGTGGATAGGCGGTTGTATGGGTTTATGGGTGAAAAAAGGATGCTATGGGTGAAAAAGGATCCCTTGTTTTTGCTCCTAGATATTGGTTTGTTCAGCTTGAAACCATTGTTTCTTGTTTGTTACATCTGACCTTTTGAAAAAGTTGTCAGAATCAACATCCCCCAATTTGTTCAGTATTTCAAAAGTTTCGATGAAATCTGCCCTGTCATACCTGGTTTGTAGTGTTGTTAACCCTCAACCGTTCCTGCTATGAGAGTTGATAATATGTTGTATTGATTTTACAAAATTGTTCACTGAGGGGGTTGAATGATTCCCTCCCTTTGGATTCTCTCTGTGAGCTTGCAAATGTGTGATGTCCAGCTGATCAGGTGGTAGTTTAGTACAGTAATTATGTGTGAGTGAGTTAGTATTTTGTTAGCAGTTAATTGTAATTAATAATAATTAATTTTGGAGGTCTGCAACACAATCCAGTTTTCTCACAAGTTAAATTTGCTCTGCCATGATAGTTATTAAATATTATGGAAAAATATTAATATAATAATAATTATTATTAGTAATTATTATACAAATATTGCTGTTTAAATCTTTAATAAACTACAATGTTTCTTTTCAGAAAAAGTCAAAGACTGGCTGTTAGAATCGTAGAAGACATGAAAAAACTGAAGCCTTTTTATTTCATAAATTCAGTATTCAAGTATTTTTCTCTGAAAAATGTTTGAGTTTACCAATGAAACTAAAGTTCTGGTTTCAAAAGGCATTAGTAAATAAACATGATTCATGAGGTTGTTGTACAAACTTGTTTTCTAAATTAGCTTTTAAGGACATAATCACTAGATTATTTGACTGAGAAAGACTGTTTATCTATTTTAAAAGGCAGCTTAGAAATTTTTATAATGTTTTTATATCAATGACTTATTAATACAGGGTATTTAAATTATACATTTTACCCAAAATATTTGACATCTTTTCAGTGTAGAAATATCTTCAAAATTAAGTAATGCTAAAATGAGGTGGAATATATTATTTTAAGTGGTTTTAGCAAGTAATGAAAGCAGTGATAATTTAGTTTGATTCATTTATTATGCATCACATGCCCATCCTGTGGGCAGTAGTAGAAAGGGCTTCAGAGGCACATAATGGGCTCAGGGACTGAACCCAAAAATCATCTAGCTAAGCATGTTACAGTTTTGATGAACTAGTTACAAAATTCAGTGCACGTTGTCACATCAACAGTGGGCTCGAGACTGACCACAAAAACAGTCTCGGAATATAGTACTGTAATTGACATACTGTACATAAAGAGCTGGTGTTATAACTAATATGCAGTGATGAGAAACAGATTTTGGATGCTCATGTATGTTCATTTGTGGTGGTCACTAACACTGCCCAAACACCTCGGCAAGCTCAGCATGCTGCAGCCTGTTTGAAGATGGATTTGATGCTAACAAAAAATAGTTTAAATCACTCTTGGGCACTTTTGACTAATTGTTCTTGTTGTCATTTGTATTATTTTATCTGAAAAATTGTGGTATTTTCATGACTGCACTATTTGTAAAGTATTTAAAAACCTAAATATATTAGTCAATAAAAATAAAATTATATAAAAATAACACTTCATTATTAAATTGTATTTTATATCATTCAAGAATTTGTTTGTACAAAAAAAGACTGGTGTACTTGTACATTTTGAGTAAAGTACATATTTAGACACCCTATATATATATATATTTGCTTGCTTGTGATAAATTATCTTTCTCTTAATATACTGTTTAAAATAAATGACACTAAAGAGTACATAAAAACATAAAAAAAAAATTAACTGTTAGATATTCCTGTCACAATTTGAAAGGAAAGTTATTAGAGGTACTGTACCTTGTTTACAGACAAATTTCTTCATGAACGTGTCGGTAAAGAGATTGTAATAAAATTTGACATCTTAATTATTCCTGACATAATACTGCTCATGAAAAGAGTTTTGTATGAAATGATAATAAATAATAATAATAAAAATAATTATAATAATATTTTGTTCATGTATACAGTATATACATATGATACATAAATAGTGGATGATACAATAGTAAAATATGTACAGTTTTCTGATCAGGGGAAGGAAGACACCAACACATGGGGGCGTAAATTTATTAGTACAGGATAAATAATTCTGCAGAAGTAAAACAGGTTTCTAAGTAGGTCTTAACAAATGTATAACATAGCCGTGGCTAACTCAAAGTACACGAAACATCTTAAATTGTACACCCGTAGAAAAATAACTGTAATCTTATAGCCTAGTAACAAACTCTGCAGAAACCTAATGGCCTATTGTCTAGAATTAGCAGTGAGGCGAATGTAACAAATCTAATTCTAAGTATAACGGTCAGGACACCATAAGTGAACAACATAACAAAAAGGAAACCCTAGCTGGAGAATAATCAGGCGGCAGAAAAATACATAGAGTCTGGGGAAGCCTGATATGTATTTGGAGAAGAAAATAACCCCAGGCAAGAGGCCGAGCCGCCAAGGAATAAGGAGAAAGAATTTCCTGACTTAAGGTAGGGCTTACTAGTAGAATGGCTGTAAAGTCAAAGTAGTAGCTGCGGACAACGGAACACTTGGGGACGGGCACTGCACCCCCCCCCCCCCCATCCCCAGTGAAACGGGAGGAAAGACGTGAGGAACAACGACTGACGTAGTCAGAACCGGGAAAACTGGCAGCCAGCAGAAAAGGGGGAGGAGGGTGGGCGCTTCGTGAATCGCGGACCGGGTCGGGAAATGGAGTGAGGGCGAGGCCTGACTTCCCGCGCTTTTTATGCCACCCAGGCTGGCCGCACCGCGCTTTGCAGAACACGATGCGCAATTGTCTCTTCCTTCCCCATCAGAAACTCCACCGCCTTTCGTCCTAAAGGCAGTGGCCATATAATGCATAAATCAACTAACACGCTGAATTAGGCAGTTTCTCATCAATTTCAAATTGTGGCTCCAAGGTTACAATTGTTGACCTTTGTACACTGTCATTTAATTTCTAATTTAAAACCTAAAGTGTTTAAATATTTAGCCTAAAACCTGAATATTTTTCCAGCCTCCAACAATGTCTTGGTATAAGTGACTGTCCAAAGCTGTGTGTGTTATTAATGGCTTAGCAATAATGTACCCCCCTCAGTCACCAACATCTGTGCTTTCACAAGCCATTGTACCACCTTGGATATCAATAAATAAATATATATTTGGTGGTACAGGTATTTAGAAGAGTCAGATGTACAGTAGTGTTTCTCATGTCATGTGTAGAGCAGTGTTTTTCATGTTAAATGCAGAGCAGTATTTCTCATGTCAAGTGTAGAGCAGTGTTTTTCATGTTAAATGCAGAGCAGTGTTTCTCATGTCAAGTGCAGAGCAGTGTTTCTCATGTCAAGTGTAGAGCAGTGTTTCTCATGTCAAGTGTAGAGCAGTGTTTCTCATGTCAAGTGTAGAACAGTGTTTCTCATGTCAAGTGTAGAACAGTGTTTCATGTCATGTGTAGAACAGTGTTTCATGTCATGTGTAGAACAGTGTTTCTGATGTCAAATGCATATTCACAATAATGTTCTAATAATCCCTGCCTAATGATAACAGGTCATTAATCCCTGCCTAATAACAGGTTATTAATCCCTGCCTAATGATAACAGTTCATTAATCCCTGTCTAATAACAGATTATTAATCCCTGCCTAATGATAACAGGTCATTAATCCCTGCCTAACAACAGGTTATTAATCCCACCCTAATGATAATACTAATATCCAGCACATCCTCTTCCCATGTACTGAATATGTAGCAAGCACAATATTCTACAATGCGTAGTTTTAAGTACATTTGTTTAATATATTGTAACATGTGTAGTATCACACATTGTACTGTTAATTTTGCTAGTTCAGTGAAATTTTTGTTAGATAAAAGCAATAAAACAAATTTAGTGTAAATATAATCCATTATTCATTACAGTTATATTTAAAATATATTGCATATAGTTCATGCATTTGTTACTGGAGACTGCATTTTATTCTTAGATTAAGAATTTGTGTGAAAAAATATATCATTCCATAACTAATAGTTTATAATATATTATTCACTACAGTTCTGTTGTGCTAATATCTTTATTTTATGTATGTAATATTTTTTTTTTTTCATTGAAACATTTGACTCTCTTATCTTTAGCTGTTTCACAAAAACTGATACTGTACATCTAATATACTGTACTTTAGTTTCCTTTGGAGTTTCCCCTCTTAAGGTGTCCGTGGCAGAAGAGCCTCGGGTTTCTTCAATACAGCTGAATGACCACCCCTTCTTTTCCTTGAAGTCAAATGTTCGTTTGACTGTTCCTAGGGGTTTGGTTGGCCTTTTTCTTTTTTATTTGACTGCAGCTCCCACTTGTTGTGCAAGTTTTAATGACTGGTGTATTCTGACTCCACAGTCCTTTTCTTCATAAGTTAGCGGTAAGGTAATGTTGTTAATTTGATAGTTGTGATGTGCATTGCTTTGCCCAACATGCAAGGTCTTGTATTTGTTCAATATTAAAAAGTATTTGTATTATAGAACTGTACGGTGATGTTAGTCTTCTGCCAGATTTTCAAATGTGACTGAAAATGTAGTTGTGGAATGTTCCTGAAATTCATAAAATTAGATTGATAATGTAATGTTTTAGTTTCATATTGGTACAGTTCCTTTATGTAACTTTTATGTAATACAGATACTGTATTACATAAAAGTTAAATTTAAATTTACTGCCAAGTATTTTTATGGCCAATAATTAATGTAAGTCTACATTTTGATATAAAATACAGAACTGCACAGTCTTCTAGCATTTCAATAATACACAGTGTTAATTACCTCATCTAATAGTTTTAAACACAGTAATGTAATATTTTTTTCTCATCTGTATTCTTACAGCATTTAAAAAAATATTTTATAATTACTGTATTCATGACTGAAATATTTAATGCTTTCTTATTCTTCAAGGGTTGACCTGTTCTTTATTTGTTGTAGCACATTGTTTGGTCCTGAACTTTGTTATACAGGATCTATAAATGTAGGATTTGTGGGGTGTTGCATATATTTTCCCATTTAACCACGTTGAACAAGCATTGCATACCTTGTGCCAATGTATCTTCATAAGGTGGGATTGGTGGGGTTTTCCATTGTCTGTTAAGCATATTGAAGTCCCCAACGCCTAATTAGTGACTTTTCCCAGGATGTACAGAAAAATTACAAAGAATCTTGCAGGTTGGGAAACTTGACAGTAATGAAAACACTTATAATAGGTGTGAAGATCTCTGATAATGATTAAAAGTCCCATTTGTTAGTGGAAATCGCTGACTGACGGAGGTCACATTTTTGCCAAGTTCCACTTTACTTAAATATAATTACTGTACTGTATTATGTTTTGACTAAATCCTTTGTTTTTGTTTTCTAATAATTTTTATTTAATTTTTATTCAATGAATATACTGTTTATAAATGCTCATGCAAACATCTTTTTACTGTTTATGCAATTGCATATTTTAACTGTTTTACTATTATATCTTTCATTATACTGTACTATCTTTTAAGTCATTTTAAGGTTTCTAATTTTAACAGTATTGATCATAAGGCAGTGTTCTAAGTAACCTTTTACCCGAGTTTACTTGAGGGGCACTGACACTAGTGGCCTCGACGAGGACAGGATGCCAGCGGCAACAAAATATATTGTTTATAATATACATTTGGGATACATCACTTAGTGGTGTATCCCAGAAAATGGTCGAGTAAGCAAAGGACACTTAAAATCTTTGAAGCTGAAGTATGAATAGTAATACATTTTCGTATTAACTCATTTCATTTAACATATGAAATAGGAAGTAATAACATGAAATATTATTTTAACTTGCCACGTTAAGCAGAGTTCAATGGAATTATTCTTGGCCAATAAGCAAAATAATATATGCGTGAAGCATTTATTTATGGACCAGACAACCAACCAGGAGGCCTGGTCAGAGACCGGGACATGGGGGGCCGTTGATCCCCGAAAGCTAAACAAGGTAGCATCACATCACCTTTGAAAGTCGAGTGAATTTCATAAATTGAGTGTTGACATGGACAGTAGCCTTATACTGTGATACTAAAACACACAAAACAAAATATGACTGAACTGAAAAAAGTTCATACAGTACAGTACCTTGTATATTTATTATGTTATTTCAAAATGGCAATGTCATCATTCAAGTACAGTAATAAATAAATTAAATAATTTTTTATTCAGGAAAAGTACATACATAGTTGATTTACAAACATAATGTTGGATTTATAGATAGAGGTAGTACATACAATACCTAAAGCCACTAATACGCATAGCGTATTGGGCAAGGTGTGGGGGGGAGGGAAACCACTTAGACTAAAACTTAATAGTAATTGGGATTTGGTATAAATTGTGTTGAAAAAAAGGAATAAAAGAAGAGGGGAACATGGCAGAAATCAGCAATTGTACAAGTTGGAGAACAAACAGCATTGTTTAACAAAAGCAAGACATGGGTTGACATTTAGGGGGGAAGGTAGGTTACATGGAGTTAAGTAGCACTTGGTTTTACTCTTAAACTGGTTGAGAGAGGTACAGCCTTTGACATGATTGGGGAGACCATTCCACATTCTGGGTCCCTTGATTTGTAGAGCATTTCTAGTTTGGTTAAGTCGCACTCTTGGAATATCAAATAGGTATTTGTTTCTGGTGTGATGCCCATGAGTTCTATTACAACCTTCTAGGAAGCTTCTAAGGTCAGGATTGACATTGCAGTTCAGAGTTTTAAATATATAGAGTACGCATGAGAGGATGTGCAGTGACTTAATATCTAACATATTCAAAGATTTGAGTAAGGGTACCGAGTGCTGTCTGGGGCCAAAGTTAGATATTGTTCTAATAGCAGCTTTGTGTTGAATAATTAGAGGACGTAAATGATTTTGTGTAGTAGAACCCCAAGCACAAATACCATAATTGAGATAAGGATAGATGAGAGAGTAATAGAGCGTCACCAGGGCAGGGCGAGGTACATAATATCTGATCTTAGAAAGAATGCCAACAGTTTTAGAAACTTTTTTTGATATATTTAGAATGTGTCCCTGGAAATTCAGCTAGTTGTCGATGAGAACACCAAGGAATTTTCCATCTACTTGGTTACTAATTTGGATATTGTTTATTCTTAGATTAAATTTGATTTGAGGATTTATTGCCAAACAAAATATAAAAAGTTTTGTCAATGTTAAAGGTGAGTTTGTTGGCAGTTAGCCAAAGATGGACTTTATATAGTTCAGTGTTCACTGGGACATTAAGAGTAAGAGGGTCAGGACTGGAGTAAATGAAGGTTGTGTCGTCAGCAAATAGAATTGGTTTGAGGTGTTGAGAACCATTTGGAAGGTCATTAATGTAGATGAGAAAGAGGAGAGGGCCAAATATGCTGCCCTGAGGAACACCAATGTTGATGGGTTGGGTGGGAGAAATTGAATTATTCACAGAAACATACTGGAGCCTGTCAGTAAGGTAAGACTGAAGATATTGGAGTGAGTGATCTCTGACTCCATAATGACACTGTACTGTGATAATGAGTCTAATAGTCTATGAAACTGTTTCTCAGAGAGAGGTTAGCTAATTATGTTTTACAGATATGACTTTATTATTGAATTTAACTGGTATTGTTGCAGTGCTGCCAACAATGACTGTAGGGAGTAGTCATTGAGGGGAGGGGCATCCAGAAGAACGCTTCCATATGTTGTCCAAATCTCTAGCAAAATTAATTATACTTGATGATGATAAATGTTTTTGAGGAGACATTTCATCAGAATGTTTTCCACAACAGATTACATTCATCTGTATATATATATATATATATATATATATATATATATATATATATATATATATATATATATATATATATATATATATATATATATATATATATATATATATATATATATATATATATATATATATATATATGTCGTACTTAGTAGCCAGAACGCCCTTCTCAGCCTACTATGCAAGGCCCGATTTGCCTAATAAGCCAAGTTTTCCTAAATTAATATATTTTCTCTAAATTTTTTCTTATGAAATGATAAAGTTACCCATTTCATTATGTTTGAGGTCAATTTTTATTTATTGAAGTTAAAATTAACGTAGATATATGACAGAACCTAACCAACCCTACCTAACCTAACCTAACCTATCTTTATAGGTTAGGTTAGGTTAGGTAGCCAAAAAAGTTAGGTTAGGCTAGTACTTCCTTTTGATAATTACTCTGTGGTAGTAATGGAGAAGGTTTATAAAATAGTAATCTAAGTAATAATCGTTTAATTCCTTTATTATGTCATCCTGCTTGCATCCAAATTACCATAGGATTAAAAAAACGTAATAATGGGCAAAATTGAGTGAAATCATAGTATGAGAATAAGCCTCAGGAGGTAATGCAGCTTAAGATGCAGCAATACTAATGTAGACAAGTTGCAATACCCAACATAACCTAGTGCCAAGCAACTTGAACATACTTGCGGGAAAAGCGGACCTGAACATTAAACATAAAATATATGACTTAATTAATTTGATTACATATAGAAAGTGATTTTTTTTAAATTTTTAAATTTTGCCCCGAGGGGCGAGTTTATTGGGCAGCGCCACTAGAAAGTGAATGTTTTACCAATATATTTAACTCTGCATGCAACGATGTAATTATCATACTCATTCTGGATACATTATATTTAACGTTCATAAAATCATTTTCATAAATAACTATGAGGAAAACAGTCCTAATCCTGTGATTTGATGAGGTAAGCAGTAGTTTGTATGAAAGCTACTTAGCTTGTTAAGCCTAAAACCGCAGGAAGTTATAATAAAAATATTATAATAAAATAGTCCCCACTAGATCAAAGCTGCAATAAATACAATAAGTACAATACACACAGAAATCACAATAGCGTGATGCATCAAATGAACAAGTCCACAAGCGTCTGGGAGCCTCTCAGACGTAGGTTCGAACCCTCGTCACGGCCCTTGTGGATATGTTCATACAATAAGTGCAAGTTAAGGAGAAGGATTTATTCTTAAGATCTTAACGTCGTTGGGCTGTACAACGGCATGTTAGTATTTGTATATATTTATCATAATACAACCCCCCTCGCAAGACCTATACTACTCAGAATCAGAAATTTTATTCGTAACCACTTATACAAATCGTTCCTATGAGTAACTAAGATAGTTCCGGTAGATATCGCTGGAGTACACGTGGTCTTGTTTACCTCGGTCAAGGTACCGAGATTCCGAGACGCCAGTCACCTGCCGGCCGTCGTGGGGAGAGTGTCGTTCTTTACTGTGTTGTGACCCTTCAGCGCCCTTGAACACTATCACCAGTAACTATGGAAGGCTACACGGAGAGTTCACCTACAAGTATTACGTCAGTCCATCCGTTTAACAGGTAATGTATAAACTGTGTAGGTTTAGCCAAACCGACAACCAGAGCCCCAGAGCCCAACTCCATAGTCTCCTGAGACTGATGGATGCCTACAAGCCAAATGTAACCTATTAATTAAAGTTAAAAAAAAATTACTGCTACTACTGCTACACAACTACTGGTTGTGGTTTGGGAATACGATTGCTAGCACGTCGGAGGAAATTTCGGCTTTACAATATATATTCATTTATTCACCATTCACAACTCCGGTAATGTGTGTGTGTGTGTATATATATATATTTAAGTTGGGAAATTCTCATGTATGAACTACATGATACATTTTCTTAACTCGTGAAGTCGGTTCAAGGTGTCACTGTTAAATACATAGCCGCAGTGTCGCCTTAAGACTGGTTAGTCAGCGGGTGTACAGACGAAGTCTTGACAGGGAAGAGGGTGGAGGTGCTGGGTGATGGTGGTGTGGCGTTCCCTCAGTTGGGTCTCCTGCAGCGCCGCCGTCAGCCACGGTATCCCTCGCCACTCTGGGAACAGCCTATCATAGAAAAAAAATGTTCAGAGAACTTGCATTTTGTTTTTATATTTATCAAGTGCAATATTATTTGGATAATAACCTTTATGAATCCGTGATAAATTATTATATTATGATCCAGTAAGTGTTAATTTGCTTAACAAATGTAATTATTGGTTAACTGGAAGGCCGACCTATTTGTTTATGAATAAGCTATAAAATTCATTGGAAATAAGAGTATTCATATCTCGGGAGTTCTTACAAGAGGTAGTAGTTGAGAAACTCGCGGTGTAACGGGGTACCCTCTAGGTGCGACATGAGCTGGCAAAAGGACCGGCGTAGACAGTTGTAGTCCCCGAGGCTGTTGGCAGACGGCAGCCATGATGAAAGTTCTTGTGTACTCTCGTTCTCAATTTCGTCCAGCCCCTTGATCTGAAGCACTGTGATCACTTCCTCCAAGGTTATGTTGGGGCTGCTTTGAGAGGGATTGGGCGTCGTCATCTCTAGGCTCGTATTGTTGAAGATTTCGGGTAGGGTTACAGGGCCGGTAAAGAGTGTCCCGTTCTCAATAAATGGGTATTCCGAGACGTCTCTCCGGCGACGACCAGCAGCGATGGGCAGAAGTGACATGGCGCCCAGCAACATGGCCCCTTCATAGAACAGTTTTTTGAAGTCTGTGGCTTTTTCGTCTTTCAGACGCTTAAATAAACTTTTTTTCATCTGCTCTTTCTGCATTTCTTGAACTTTGATTCGCAACTTAAGATCATTCAGGTCTCTTAACTTGTTTGCTTCTTCTTGCATCTGCAGCTGATTTTGAAAATATTCCAGCTGTAGTTGGTCTCGCTGTTGATTCACTGGATCACGTGGAGGACTTGCAGGCTGTGCATACTGAGCTGGCTGGCCATGTGCGATGGGTCCGATGGCCACAACGGGGGACCGTTGAAAAAACTTGGGCGGCTTGCGTTTCTTCGACAACAAGAACGGGATTCTTGGTGGTGGAGGAGGTCGCGCTGGAATGAAGGCTGTGCTGGGAGGAGCAGGAGGCTGAGGGTCTGCCGGTGGGGCGCCGTATGTAGGTGACGCAGTGACTGGAGGGATGGCTGGGGGGCTCGTCGTCGTTGGTGGTGGACCATAGGACAAAGTTGGAGGAGAACGAGGATACCGGTTTGTATTTTGAGGAGGACCGTATGCCGATGAAGGTGTAGGTGGCGGAGCTGGCGGTTGAAAGATTGGTAGATTTACTGGTGGAGGCCCATACATTGGCCCAGGTGGATTTGATGGAGGTGGAGGTCCGTATCCATTCACTGGATCAGCTGGATTTGAGGGAGGCGGAGGCCTATATCCATACATAGGCTCAGGTGGATTTAAGGGAGGTGGAGGCCCGTATGTATTTGATGGGGGATCTGCAGGTGGTGGAGGTCCATATGTATTTGATGGTCTTGGGGGAGCTGCAGGAGGTGGAGGCCCGTATGTATTTGATGGGGGATCTGCAGGAGGTGGAGGTCCATATGTATTTGATGGGGGATCTGCAGGAGGTGGAGGTCCATATGTATTTGATGGTCTTGGAGGAGCTGCAGGAGGTGGAGGCCCGTATGTATTTGATGGTCTTGGGGGAGCTGCAGGAGGTGGAGGTCCGTATGTATTTGATGGTCTTGGGGGAGCTGCAGGAGGTGGAGGTCCGTATGTATTTGATGGGGGATCTGCAGGAGGTGGAGGCCTGTATGTATTTGATGGTCTTGGGGGAGCTGCAGGAGGTGGAGGCCCGTATGTATTTGATGGGGGATCTGCAGGAGGTGGAGGCCCGTATGTATTTAATGGTCTTGGGGGAGCTGCAGGAGGTGGAGGCCCGTATGTATTTGATGGTCTTGGAGGAGCTGCAGGAGGTGGAGGCCCGTATGTATTTGATGGGGGAGCTGCAGGAGGTGGAGGCCCGTATGTATTTGATGGGGGATCTGCAGGAGGTGGAGGTCCGTATGTATTTGATGGGGGATCTGCAGGAGGTGGAGGTCCGTATGTATTTGATGGGGGATCTGCAGGAGGTGGAGGTCCGTATGTATTTGATGGGGGATCTGCAGGAGGTGGAGGTCCGTATGTATTTGATGGGGGATCTGCAGGAGGTGGAGGTCCGTATGTATTTGATGGGGGATCTGCAGGAGGTGGAGGCCCGTATGTATTTGATGGTCTTGGAGGAGCTGCAGGAGGTGGAGACGGAAGCGAATGCATGTATCCATATTTTCCCGAAGGCGAGCTTAAATGAGACGGAACCTGTGTTAGAGCAGAGGGAGCATCCAGCGGAAGGGAAGAATATGAAGAGGGCGGACTTTGTTGGCGAGGAGCCGTGAGGGCATTGGAAGGCAGCGGGTCACTAAAAATATCTTTCTGATCTCTGTGAGTAGAAAAAGAGGAATATCCTGATCTAGAACCGATAGGATCTGCTGATACCTGATCATTGCAATCATTCCCAGACTTGCACTTTGCTGACTTGTAACTACGTTCTTTGCTACTGGAGTCTTCTTTCTTGTTCCCAGTGTCTGAGAATTCGTTGTTATCCCCTGCGTAGTGATAATGGTAATGGTAGTAATAGTTGCTGGTACCGCTTGGGCTAGGGTCATCCTGCGTATCTAGATGATCTGTGGTGTAAGAGGCTGCATTGCTCGGAGGTGTGATGGGTCTCCATTTATCGGAGTCATCACGGCTTCCGGTGCCCTCGAGAGGCAAGAATCCGGTGGGAGGCCTGTAGTAGGGGTTTAGGGTGGTCGCCACCTCGTCTCTGGGAGGTAGGTATTCTTGTGAGGGCCTTTGTGTAATGGTGTTCGGTGGAGCTGGTGGTAAAGACTCAGGGTCGGCCGGTTTTGTCGGAGGTATAGCGACATAGACAGGCGGAGGCCGGGGAGCAGCAGATGCTGTGACTCTATTGGGCAACCGATATGCAGTCGACAAGCTTGCTGAAGGATCTGCCTGTTGGGGTGTGCCACTCTGCGTCTGTGATGTTGGAAGTCCCTTAGGAAAAATGTAAATCTCAGCTGGAGTGATGACGAGCCTGGATCTTTCTTTCTGGCTAAATTCTTCATTTCGACTTGGGAGAATGTAACTATTGGACGGGGTTCTCGGAGGAGCTGGTGGACCAGGTTGATCAGCCACCGTATTTTGGTTTGGTTGGAGGTAACTGCTAGTGGGAGGAGGAGCTGGCGGATCACGTTGCTGACTTGGTGGGAGATAGCTATTGGTGGGAGGAAGAGGAGCTGGAAGGTCTTGTTGTTGGATTGGTGGGAGATAGGTGTTTGTTGGAGGAGGAGCTGGTGGATCTCTTTGTTGGACTGGTGGGAGATAGTTGTTTGTTGGAGGAGGAGCTGGTGGATCTCGTTGGATTGGTAAGAAATAGCTGTTTGTTGGAGGAGGAGCTGGTGGATCTTGTGGTTGGACTGGAGGGAGATAGCTGTTTGTTGGAGGAGGAGCTGGTGGATCTCGTTGGACTGGTGGGAGATAGCTGTTTGTTGGAGGAGGAGCTGGTGGATCTCGTTGGACTGGTGGGGGATAGCTGTTTGTTGGAGGAGGAGCTGGTGGATCTCGTTGGACTGGTGGGAGATAGCTGTTTGTTGGAGGAGGAGCTGGTGGATCTCGTTGGATTGGTAAGAAATAGCGGTTTGTTGGAGGAGGAGGAGGAGCTGGCAGATCTCTTTGTTGGACTGGTGAGGGATAGCTGGTAAAGAGAGGAGCTGATGGTAGAGGATCTTTGACCGGAAAGTAATAGCCATTGGGATGTCGTGATCTTGAACCCTTAACCATAGTCATTAGAGAGTGGACAGTGTCACGCTGTTTCCTGTTGAGTTCTGACAAGGAGTTTATTTGCCGGTTGTAGATAGACTTCGCCAGCTTCAGCTCAAATTCTTCATCATTTTTTTCGTCTCTCAATGACGGACTTTCAAATGCTGTGATAATCTCCATGGCAAGCTTCAGGTCTTCCAGTCGTCGCCTCCTAATGTCTGCTAGTGTCTTGTCGTTCAAGTCCTCGCCAGAGGTTGGAGTATCTCTGCTGTCTTCGTCTGGAGTACCCAAAAGTTTCGCCAGTCCGGGAAGATTTTCATTATACAAAGCAAAGAAATCGACATTGTTGTTTTCCGGAGAATTCAAAGCTTTGGATTTTTTACTCGTCAACCTTTCTAGTGCAAGCTGCAGGTCTCCTTGTAGGGCTGGAGGAGGAGGAGGAGAGGAGGTTGGGGTGGAGGAGGAGGTTGGGGTGGAGGAGGAGGTTGGAGTGGTTGTGTTGAGGGAGGCAGCGAGGTGCTGGGCGTAGTGGACGAGTAGCTGGAGGGTTTGCGATATTGAGGCTTCATCTGGGGCTTCCTGGATGGGAGGGAAGGTATGTGGTAAATACTGAATTGTATATGCAAGCGATGAGTCACAGTAACGTGGCTAAAGTATGTTGACCAGACCACACACTAGAAGGTGAATACACTATACCTTCTAGTGTGTGGTCTGGTCAACTGAATTGTATACACTATTAAGCAAAAATTTGTTTATTTAATACTCTATAAATGAACCAAATTATAAGAATAGTTGACCTAAGAGAATTTGCCTCGGTATATATATTTCTTCAAACATTGATGGATTACATCGTTCACCGTGAGGAAGTTTAGTTTTCCAATCTTTTGTTAAATGATAAACTATAGTGATTAATGTTCAGCATGACGGTTTGTCATGCTGTGCCATGCAGCCAGTCAGGAAGAAACGCAGGCATTATTTCGATAAAGAACAAATATACGTTGTTTAATTGGTTAAACAATGTGTTGGTGTAGTCATACTGGGCCTGGTGTGTAGTCAAGTTTATGACAAACACGCCAAGATATTTTGGAATTATGTTCGTGTCTAAATTGTTAGTGACAAAGAAAGACTTGGAAAAAGCAAAATGTGTTCCTCTTCTTACCCATAAACTACACGGGCGACACTGACCTGTGAAGAATGGTTTCCGCTCGGCGGGAGGCGAAACCTGTGAGTGGTGGGTGATGGTTCGTCCCCAAAACTCTCGTCCTCGTCGTAGTAGTCCTCGTAGGACGAAGGCTCATCGTAGTCAGCGTCTTTGTCGATGAACTCTCTTTGAGAAGATGGAATGATAAAATCAGAAGGGTTGAAGAGGCTGGTGTGACGATCTTTCGGCGTTTTCGCGGAGTTCAAGCCCCTGGTGGTAGGGCGAACCACGCTGCGGCTCTTTGAACTGGCACCCGCGTTAGGGAGGTTATCAAAGAGAGACCCGCCTTGTTGGCCACCGGCGAGGCTGGTGGCGACGGTTGCCGAGGCTACCCGAGGCTTGGTCGATGGATTGGTCCTGTAAATGCCAGAGTTGGGGAACTTCTTGGAGGGCAGGTCAGCCTGCCCTGCTGCTGCTTCGGGATAACCCCCTTCCTGAAGTTCCTTCATGCTGAGGGACATCTTAGGCCCACCGAAGAGAGAGACTTCTGATGTTTGGTGTTCTTCATTTTCAGATAAGATGGCTTCGTGCGTTGATTGGGACAGGGAGACATCTGGGATATTATCGCTGGCACCGAAAGTATGATCCACCTCGTCGAAGAGGGACTGTCCCCTCGTCAGGAGGAACAGGCTGCATAGAACCAGATAACCTGGAATGTTGAGAATAGGATTAATTTGTATTCAAGATTGGTAAAGTTGTATATCCAAAGGGAAGTAGTAATGGCTGTGGCTAGCATGTTTTTATCGGGAATATTCCTCCGCGAGCCCCAAGCCTCTGTCTGGCCCACTAAAATTAACGGTAATATTTACCTAGCTACTCAATTTAGCGACTAGCGGTAAATTAGTAAATCTATAGTAACTTGTTCGATTTGCTGAGCGTAAGGCAAGCACTCAAGTTAACCAAAATGGGTTACCTGCCTTCGGAAGTGTCGATGAATGTCAACCTTCAATGGGTAGTAACCCTAGCTGAAGAAGTTCACAACCACACGCTCAACAGTTTACAGCTACGCCCTCTACAGTTCAGAACCACCCCTCTAGTTTACAACCACGCCCTCTACAGTTTACAACCACGCCCTCTACAGTTTACAACTACGCCCTTTCGTTCCATTTTGCTAATATTTTATATATGACTGGTGCCTACATTTTTCAATGATGAGGATCTTGTGTTTTTCAACTATGTGACTTCTGTACCTTCTGGTCTTCCCTGCGCTGTGGAGTCAAATTCTCTCACTTGCCCTAATATAGTCCTTACCTTGCGATGATTTCGGGGCTCAACGTCCCCGCGGCCCGGTCCTCGACCAGGCCTCCTATCAACAGTCTAGCAACAAACCTCTCGCCTTGCCTAGTTTCGTGTTAAGCTTCTCGAAGAGGGAAAGGGTTCCAAGCCAGGTCTGCATACAGCATTGACCTCACTTTGGCAGTACTGAACACTGCAACGTTCTGTAACGGTCCATCTAATTACCCAATGCTACCCAAATCAACTCAAAGCTCTCCAACGCTTCCTGGCATTACGTAAGTAATGAAGAAATATGATGTATTTACTTACTATAATGTTGGTGGTGAATGCACAACATGGAAAAAAACTACTTTTGACCACTTGTATTAGTAAAACTAAAGATATTTTGGATAATCCTTTTTAGAAAAGTCCTTTATTATATGCTAATATGATATGAGTGTCATAGAAATGATCTCTTTTGAATCTTGTGGATGAAGTAGGATATTGAAAATGTGTAAAATTCGTTGGAAAAGAACAATCTCCGTTTCTATATAGGATGCGATACCGAAACGTAGAACATGTTGTTGTTGTTATAGATTCAGCTACTCGGAACAAGTTCCAAGTAGCACGGGCTATGGTGAGCCCGTAGTGGACTTACCTGGCACAGGAGCGGTAGTAGAACAATTGCAGCCCTTCTTATATACAACTAGTAAAACAAGTTTGGTTGACATTAAACAATACTTAAAAAAAACGATATACGCCCCCTTAACTTACCCTTAGTTAGAAACGAGGAAGATTTGCTAACGTGATCACTCTGATGGTCAATAGGCTTTAAAACTTTAACCTATCCTAATTCTGATGGTCAATAGGCTTTAAAATCTTAACCTATCGTAATTCTGATGGTCAATAGGCTTTAAAATCTTAACCTATCCTAATCCTGATGGTCAATACGCTTTAAAATCTTAACCTATCCTAATCCTGATGGTCAATCCGCTTTAAAATCTAAACCTATCCTAAACATTAAACAAACCTTCCCTAATCCTATCCCTACCAGCGTAAACCAAGCTAGCCTATCCTGTGGTAGCCTAGCCGGAGTAGGAGGGCAGCGGGCGGTAACTTGGCCGTCATGATAAGGAAGGGTGGGGGGTACTCATCATCTCTCCAAGCCTGGTATTAGCGTTACCTTCGTCTGTAGTTTATGATAAACATTCACATATTAATTTAGTAGAGAGGCGGCACCCATGAAGTCAGGGCATTTATTTATTTATCCGTTTTCATATTAAGTTTTTTTTTCGTCATTGAGAGGTGAATGGACGCCGAACCAGTCTCCAGTACTTTGTTTTACGTGATTATATATATATATATATATATATATATATATATATATATATATATATATATATATATATATGCGAACAAGCCTGAATGGTCCCCAGGACATATGCAACTGAAAACTCACACCCCAGAAGTGACTCGAACCCATACTCCCAGAAGCAACGCATCTGGTATGTACAAGACGCCTTAATCCACTTGACCATCACGACCGGACATAATGAGGTGATAGCCGAGGCTATTTGAACCACCCCACCGCCGGCACTCGGATAGTTATCTTGGGCATAGCATTTTACCAAATCACCTCATTCTTTGGGGCAACACGTGAGGAACACAAATGCGAACAAGCCTGAATGGTCCCCAGGACATATGCAACTGAAAACTCACACCCCAGAAGTGACTCGAACCCATACTCCCAGAAGCAACGCATCTGGTATGTACAAGACGCCTTAATCCACTTGACCATCACGACCGGACATAATGAGGTGATAGCCGAGGCTATTTGAACCACCCCACTGCCGGCACTCGGATAGTTATCTTGGGCATAGCATTTTACCAAATCACCTCATTCTTTGGGGCAACACGTGAGGAACACAAATGCGAACAAGCCTGAATGGTCCCCAGGACATATGCAACTGAAAACTCACACCCCAGAAGTGACTCGAACCCATACTCCCAGAAGCAACGCATCTGGTATGTACAAGACGCCTTAATCCACTTGACCATCACGACCGGACATAATGAGGTGATAGCCGAGGCTATTTGAACCACCCCACCGCCGGCACTCGGATAGTTATCTTGGGCATAGCATTTTACCAAATCACCTCATTCTTTGGGGCAACACGTGAGGAACACAAATGCGAACAAGCCTGAATGGTCCCCAGGACATATGCAACTGAAAACTCACACCCCAGAAGTGACTCGAACCCATACTCCCAGAAGCAACGCATCTGGTATGTACAAGACGCCTTAATCCACTTGACCATCACGACCGGACATAATGAGGTGATAGCCGAGGCTATTTGAACCACCCCACCGCCGGCACTCGGATAGTTATCTTGGGCATAGCATTTTACCAAATCACCTCATTCTTTGGGGCAACACGTGAGGAACACAAATGCGAACAAGCCTGAATGGTCCCCAGGACATATGCAACTGAAAACTCACACCCCAGAAGTGACTCGAACCCATACTCCCAGAAGCAACGCATCTGGTATGTACAAGACGCCTTAATCCACTTGACCATCACGACCGGACATAATGAGGTGATAGCCGAGGCTATTTGAACCACCCCACCGCCGGCACTCGGATAGTTATCTTGGGCATAGCATTTTACCAAATCACCTCATTCTTTGGGGCAACACGTGAGGAACACAAATGCGAACAAGCCTGAATGGTCCCCAGGACATATGCAACTGAAAACTCACACCCCAGAAGTGACTCGAACCCATACTCCCAGAAGCAACGCATCTGGTATGTACAAGACGCCTTAATCCACTTGACTATCACCTCATTATGTCCGGTCGTGATGGTCAAGTGGATTAAGGCGTCTTGTACATACCAGATGCGTTGCTTCTGGGAGTATGGGTTCGAGTCACTTCTGGGGTGTGAGTTTTCAGTTATATATATATATATATATATATATATATATATATATATATATATATATATATATATATATACATACATATGTATATATATTATTCTTAAGATTTAGATGACAGCCGTCGTTATTCACGAGCAAAGTTTTCTCATAATAAAAGTATTTTTCGTGTGCTTGCGTTCGTTAAGCGAAATATATGTAAAAGGTGTAACAAGAAATAAAAACAATTCTCCAGTGGGGTGATTGAGAGAGTTATTGAGAGAGCGAGAAGATGAGTTTATAATAACGAATTACACGAGACAAAACGCGACATGTCATGGCATTTCGGTTGACATTTTGTAAACTACTGATAATTTTAATATCATATTTGAAAATGGAAGCTGGGGGCGCACGCGCACACACACACACACACACACACACACACACACACACACACACACACACACACACACACACACACACACACACACACACACACACACGAAAAGCGCTAACAAAAATCAGGTAAATAATTCAAGTTTTCAAGATATTTTCAATCTAGAATATGACGTGTAAGTAGATTGGAAAGAGTAGAGGTGTTCCGTTGAGAGACTCACCGATACATAAATGACTCCCAAAGTAAGTAATCAACTAGGGGAGGAACTCACAGTTCCTGCGACGGTGCTGGAACCAATCGTACTGGCGTATGCCTTTTCATTGGAGACTTTCAGCGCCGTGGAGAGGGGGGGACCTGCTGCCTGGGTAACAGCTTCTCCCCCGAATCAACCTACCCTGGCTTTGCGCCCTGGTGAGGCTACTCCAGGCCGACAACCAGAGCCGAACGCCATAGTCTCCTGAGACTGATGGATGCCTACGACTACTACTAGGGAAGGTGGGCGTGATGGTAGCCGCAGACCCGGACAAGATCTCGTGAATACTAAAGCGGCGGGAGAGAGATTTTGTCGAACCAATGTTATAAGAGGAGAGCTACCTGTAAGCTGGATAGCGGCTGATATGGCGCAAATATTAAAGGTTTAAAACAGGCTGGTAAATCTGGAAGCTATCGGAGTGGGGTATTACAAGGGTCGGTAATAGTGCCCATCCTGTTCCGAATACAATGACCAGAGAAGGAAGGCACAATCATATCAATGTTTGTCGATGTTGACCAGACCACACACTAGAAGTTGAAGGGACGACGACGTTTTAGTCCGTCCTGGACCATTCTCAATCGACTTGAGAATGGTCCAGGACGGACCGAAACGTTGTCGTCCCTTCAACTTCTAGTGTGTGGTCTGGTCAACATACTTCAGCCACGTTATTGTGACTCATCGCCTGCAATGTTTGTCAATGATATAAAATTAATGGGAAAAACCCAGAACAGATGGCAAATGTGAACATTACACACAGAAATCACAATAACGTGATGCATCAAATGAACAAATCCACAAGGGCCGTGACGAGGATTCGAACCTGCGTCCGGGAGCATCCCAGACGATGCCTTAATCGACTGAGCTACGACATGGTTAAAAAGAGTTGAAACCGAAGTTC